GACGGGATATAATCCGCATAACTTCCGTGCCGGGCGCACGACACTGTAAACTCCCTTTCGAAATTTTCTTTTGGCTACGTCACTTTGATGCATTTGTAGCCGTACGCGCATTTAAAATTGTAATAATAGTTCTCGTTTTGATACAACGACGTAGTGATTGATCGATGCGTACATATTATCACCCCCGTTGGGAAGTTTTAAAAATCGTTTTTACGCCGTTGCTCGCGAACGATGTATAGCTCTCGGGGGCGTATTTATAGCAGCTGGGGGACAAGGAAGACCGTGGCGACATAATAGATTTCAGGCTTTTGATAAAATATAATTGACAATTGTGTTACTCACGGTTGAAAGTCTTTTAATTATTATATAGTGTGACGGGCATATGTTTTTCAGCGGTACATATTATGAGTCGTACGTTGGGGACTGGGGGAGGGGTTAAAACCGGGTGAAAAACAGTTTTTTCGAATTTCGAATTAAAGACGAGAAACACGAAATACGCGAAATATGCGAAATACGAAAAATTCCAAATGAAAATTTGAACTCTTAGTCACAGGCACGTGGTTTTTAGCCTTTGAAATAGTTGTTTTTAATTCCCGCCCCTATCACAGAATACCCGATGTTGTCGGTCCGTGCGGCGAATCGTTTTCGAATGGAGACGGACGAAGGCTCACAGACGAAACGACTTATAATGTTAGAGGTTGGTATAAAATCCACACGATTTCGAGGTTAATAATTTCAAAACTTGCGGTTTTCGGAAGAACAGAGCTGTACCTGCTACCCAGCCCGTTTAAAACCGAACAAAAACAAAATTCCGCCGCCAAATCTGTATGCTCGACAGAAAGTTATACCTGCGTAGGTACCGTTACGAATAATTATGATGCATAATTATTACGGCGCGGTACGGAATAAAATTTACGCGCTGTTACTTCTAGTTACAAGTGTAAATATTATTTTAAAATCTCCCGTTTATAGTCTCGTCTAATCAACTCGGTTAAAATACTCACAGACCGGAAACGTTCGATGTACTTTATTCCGGATGAAGTACAGTCAGTGGCATATTTACGGGAGGACGGGGGGAGGAAATAAATTCCCCTTCCGCATGCGCCGTGATTAAGCAAATAACTATAGATGTCACTACACAATCAATGCAAATTGCATTATCAAATATGGGCTGTAGCGGTGATAGTGTTTATAGCTAGAGATGTAAGCTTGACAATTTTCTGAAAATTTAAAAATGTCAGTTTTAATGTAATTCTCCTAACATAATTAATTTTTGAGGTTTTTTGCTTGGTATCGCTGCATCACAGCTATTTATATTGTTGGTTATCAGTGCTTGAATCTTATATAAATGATAATAAATGCGTAATAATTAATAACAATGATTATGTAGGTACCGTTGTGATTTTGCGATCGCTATCGTCGTGAGACATGGGCGTTTTCACTATTGATAATTTTTAAACGCCACAATGGCTAAAAATTAATACATGCGTTATGGAGCCGAGTTAAACAAGAAAACATTTTACACCAGTATAACTTACTGCAAATGGAAAAGTGCAGTTTATGCAACTAGGATGTGTAATCTTGTTATTATTATTTTTTCAAATTTGTTATAAAGTTGAATGTTTATTAATTAAATATGACTTAAACGATTGCGACTCGAAACCAAAATTAAAATGTATAGGTAAAATAGAACGTATTTGTCAATTATAATTTATGTTAAACGGTAATACAATTGCGTAGTTTTAAATATAATTATGAAGGGTAAATCTACTAGGTATTGGTAAAATTGGTGTTTGAGGTTTTGTCGGGTAGCCGCCGACGATAATATTATAATACAGTAAAATCGCCGTTAACGGTCACCTGTGCGTAACGGCGATTTTTTTTAGTCCCGTCAAGTGTTATGCCCCTATATAGGAAACCTCTAAAAGACAGTCGTCTCTAAATAGCGGTCATTATTTCCGGTCCCTTCGGTGACCGTTATATGAAAGTTTTACTATATATCGTATTGGTCCGCGCATGTTGTGGTCGTCTACGAGGAAAACAAAAGTAAAAAAAATAACCGCGACCGTTATACGGCGATAACTTTAAAACTATTTAGATAAGATAATAGATAAAATTAATTAAATTTCTTCGACACAAAAAATATATAAACGAAAATAGATAATTTGTCAGTGTGTTTCTAAAGGCTTTTACAAAACGTAAAGTTGAGAAAGTGGAAGGGAAATTTAATAAATACCTGTACGCAACGATTAATCATTGTTAACGAAAAATGATTCTTAGCGCAGTACGGTTATACGTGTTTTGAAACTTTTAAAGGCCGTTATATTTACGATTTGAAAATAATATAAATTTCGTAAATTCTCCCGGTTTTCCGTTTATTTTGAAAACCTCTGGGAAAATCAAAAAAAACGACCTCACTAAAGTACCGTCCCAATCAGATTTACTTTCGGGAAAAGTGCTACACTCGAAAACCTGAGCAAAATGCACAGTAGAAAAGTTATTCGCGGAAAAAATAAAAATAAGTAAATAAACACTGTAAAACCGATACGTTTCTGGTTCCGTTCAGAAAATAGGTAGTTTAAAGTAGACGCGCGAAACGGAAAATAGCCGACTAAAAAATCTAATCAAAATATGATTGTCCACGGGACAATCGGACAAAATGTCGGATTCGTTCGGATGAACAGACGGGGTAAAGCAAAAAAAAAAAAAACACAACGCAAACACGAATATAGATAACAGAAATTCGCGTCTAGATACATTTGATTACTATCACATTGATTACATTAGACACTATTGTCTACAGACACCGCGCGTAGTACACGAGTATTGTATACAGTCGGCGGGCGATGCGCGGATCCGGCACCCCACCCCCCTTCCGCACTCCCCACCCCCCTCGTCATCCGGCGGCAATATTGACTATTCGATGCGAACGGCAAACAACCGCACGGCGCGTATTTAAACGTATTAAAAATCACCGCCGGCAATCGCGGCGGCCGGGTCCGCGTTTCCCGCGGCCCTCCGCTTTACATTACACACAAATCGCGCGAGTTTACCTAACTGCATACGGGTCGGCGGCGGCGGCGGCGGCGGCGGCGAATTTCCTCTCCGAATTCGGTGTTTTTTCGCGGGCCGCCCGCCCGTCCGCCCGCCGCCGTCTCGGGGTCCGGCGCGGTTCGTTTTCTCCCCCGCCGCCGCCCGTGCTGCGGCGGGGGGGTGCGCGCGGAATAAATTACGCCCGGGACGGTGTAGCGCCGGTGCAGTCGGCGCGGCGCGCGCGTTGTCGAAAGGCAATTTGGTAAATTGTAAAACGTGAGTAATTTATATTATACGCGAGACCCGGCCGGCGCGGTAGTGATTGGTAATCACGGTAAAACGTTTCGGCGGCGGTGTGTACATTATACGCGCGCGTACGTTCGCCGCTAGAGGGCGGTGGGCGGGGAGGGGGAAAAAAAACCGATCGCCGCTCTAATACGGGGTGTGCGTATTATACGTGTACACACACACACACACATATATATATATATACACATATACATATATATATATAAACGTATATATATATATAGGTTAGATATATAGACCGGCGTGTACACGTGCGTATTATTGCCGTATCTCGCGCGCGCGTGTTTATGCGCCGGAAATTATTATTGCGGCCGTTCCGACGGCTGTCGCCGCTGTCATTAACCGCGCCGCGCGGTGTTTTTCGGCGGGGGCCCGCCAATTTTCCCGCCGACCCGTGCGCGCAGCGCGCAGGTATGTTGTTCCGGTCGAAACAGAAAAAAAAACCAAAAAAAAAAAAACCATAAAAAGTCCCCCGTCGAATTTTCCGCGGTTCACGCCTCGCGCGATTGCACGGAATTATAATGTTTTTTTTTTTGTCACCACACGAATGATTTTGCCACCGAGGTCGTCGGCGTTCTCCGCGTATACATCGGCGATGTGGACCAAACGGGGCGGCGTAGTTTTTTTTTTCGTTTTTTTTTTTTCGAGCGGGTCGTCGTCATTCTCGTTTTCACCATCGTGTTTTTCCATAGTTGTTTACGAATATTATGTTTTTTTTTTCCGACGCGGCGGTCACGCACCTCGCCAACCAGTCGTTGCAAAACACGAGACGAATTTGTAGCAAAAGAAATTCGGTAATAAACGTCGGGAAACTTTCTAATTCGCCGACGAAACAACGTTTCCTTTCGGAAAAGACACTGCTGTTAGAATGTAAAAGCGTCGACCCACAAAACAAACCCGATTGACGTTAATATAAAAGCCGGTACCCTAACGCGAACACAGAACGAGCATAACAAAACGAGAGTGAAATAACCGCGGAATACGGTAGACGTAGAGCTGACACACAGTTGGCGGGACGGCACGAACGAACACGGATTTTCAGGAACAAAAACCACCCGGTGTTCTGCTGACCACGAATATCGCGACGCCGCGCGCGGGGAAAAGCAGGGCCCCGCGAAACTTATAGCGCCGGCACCGCGTCAGTACGCGAAACGAATTGTGTCGGACGGACAGACGCGGATGGAGAACGTCAGTTACAAAGCCGCGAAGGAATCGGGGCGACGAAACAGACGGGTCCCGGAAATCCGCGGAAAACCAATCGGAAAAAAGCGGGGGGGGGGGAACACGCCGAAATTGTCGTTCCGATCGATAAAAAAAAAAAAAAAAAAAAAACGTACGCCGTAACTCGCAGAGTAAAAAAAAAATTTCGTGACCACGGGCACTCCGTTTTCGAGATTTTACCGGAAATCAACACGGTTCGGGACGGTTCGTTTGCGGACGAGACTGATGACGCGTCGTTCGGAATCGCGCACCCGTTCTGGCCCTTCGCGCCCGATTTCGGACGTGACGTCATTCCGTTCCCTAGGAAATCAAAAAACGTTTAACGGACAACAATAAACAATAACAGTACGCGATCGTTATTGCGGGCGCGTAGGTAACCGCGCGTTGTCGTCCGTTTACACGCGACGTTCGAAATAATACGAGCACGGCGGAACGCGATGGCCAAACGTGTCGCGCCCGTGCCGTTGGCGTTGTACGTGTTGGTCGGCTGTTTTCGAAACACGTGCAGCGGCGCGCCGTGTCGCTCATGTCCGGACGCCGCCGTACACGCGAGGTATGATGTTCACGGGTAAACGACGCCCGCGACCGGCGGACCGGAATTTGAATCGCGACGGCCGTTTTGAACCTTGTGTGTGTTATTTGTTGCGCAGAACCGACGCGGCGGACGGGGATCCGGTTCCCGGAGGTTACGAGGTGTACAGGAGACCGGACCTGCCGTGGGCGACCAATTACGGGACGGCGCTGACGTCCGTCACCGATCGCGCCGCGGCCAGACGCGATCCGGGACCCCGGAATTCTAAGTAACGCGTTTCGTCGACGAGCGCGGCCGCGAGCATCCCGACGCTGCGGCCGCTCGTTTTTTTACTATTCGTATTTTTCCCGTAAAACAGCGCGATTTCGCAATGTCCGGCAAGTACGTAGTTGGACGTATTTACACCGTCGTATTCGTCGCACGGGAAGAAAACGTAATTTAAAAATATCAACTGGCCCCGATTTCGCGTCGCATAACGTTCTTGAAACTTCTGAAATTCGGACCGAGTCGACTCACAATGTGTTTACGCTAAAGTTTTGAATTTTTTTCTCCGATAAACGTAAACGGGTTAAATCGAATACTAACGCAAAAAAAAAAAAAAATTCTCGAAAAGGCCGTAGTTCGTGACTCCGCCTTGTCTGTTACAATATCGCCCAATAATTATAGCCGATTGCTCGTACGAATTAGAACAACTACGGTTATATTTATCAGATCGGCATGCAGCGCGGTGCCGCAGGCGTGTCGGGATAAGTCTACGAGACCGGGTTCGAAGGGAACGCCGACGCGCGGCGGTAAGTGCGCCGGACACCGCAAGTCGACTGTCGGTGATGTCGACCGAACGCGCGGTCGATCGGCCGACGGCTACGGCCGTAAGACGCCGAAAACCGTCAAAACCCGACGGACCGCTAAGTGCAAGAAGAGGAAAAGTCTCCAGCGTAACGCGGCCGGATCGCCCGAGATCACCGGTGCCGGCGACGACGACGGCGACGGCGACGACGGCGACAACGGTATGTACGCGTTTCGATTTTTTTTATTCGAAACTATCGCGATTGCGTGTACAATAGTAGAATTATAGCAGTTTCCCGTGTAAGCGCGACGAGATATTCGAATAGAACGACGTATGTTACGATGAACACGGTGCGTTCGCGCAGTCTCGCGACAGTAACGGCGTGACGGTCGCATTCACGGTGGCCGGCCGTATTTACTAAATTACGTTGTACACACAAAAACGGTACGGTCCACGAGAGTAGAAACCACGGTTGCGAATTTCGCAACTGTCGTTTACCGCGATGTAATAGTAGGCAACGTAATACGCTATAACACGCGGATCAACGGACACGGACGCCGATTTTGTGCGATTTGAAAACTATTTTAAATGGCCGCCTTACCGATGACAATGTCGCGCTGCTAACCCGCCGCTCGATGCCCGTTTGGACGGATAGTGTCTGAATGCGCGAAAATCACTGCGGGAATTGGCGCGGTTCATTGTCGACGTAATATTTCCCTACCGTTCCGTGTTCACTGATTGGCAACAACGCGCTACCGACCGTAAAACCGAGCTCCGAATTTTCGTTTTATTTCGAAGTGCGGCGTACGGAAAGTCGGTGAGAAACAGGTTTGAAACTGGTCGATTTTAATGACGTATTGTACAATTTATGGTAAAAATATCGATAAACGGAGTCGAACGTTGCCTGTAAGTTTTCTTTCCAACGAGAATACAGTAACCACCGAAATCCGACCGCACTCTACGGACTGCGGGGCACGCAGCTTTTTCCCGCAAGGCTTGGTTTTTGAGCTAAAAAACACACGACGACATTAATCAAAATATTTTACTTAAAGGCTTTTTTTTTTTTTTTTTTTTATAAATATATTTGTGTGGTATATAATTGTAACGGTTTTATTTTAAGATACGGCCGTGTCAGTATGATGGACGATAATGGTGCAGGTAGCGCAGTCGAATTATCCGACACGAATAAACAATTCGTACGATGTCTTGCGAAAATGACCGACTTGAGGCGAATTATATCACCATACGCCGAAGATTTGGTGATTTTCATTACGGTTATTATTACAACGACGGTGCGGTATATTTTAGTTGCAATAATTTCTCGATTCGATTTTGTATTAAACGCAGGGACAAAAAACTGCAAGAGTTGACATCGCGGTCGCAACATGTGTACAGTTAATTAAACAGTTATCGGTGCTATGGACAATCGCAATATTTTGTTTTTAATTTCGTAGGTCAAGTGTGCGGAAAACCGGAACATTAAACTAATTTTATTTAAAAAAAATGTATAAAGTCTAAAGTCTATTTAATTATTTTTTTTTTTCTATAAAATGATATATATATATATTGTTAAAAAGAATCACTATCAATTGAATTCCGCTCAGAATCGTTTTTTTTCCCGTAAGCAATGGTTTGTCGTTGCTTACAGATATACATTAAATTCCCGTCTATATTTTGCCTTCACAACTTTCCGCCTACATCAGTTCATCCCGTTAACCTCCCATTATCTTACCTTTCTTTTTACTTTTTTTTTTTAGTATATTTGACGTATCCACTTGTACTCCGAATTAAAAATTATCTGTACGATAGCCGTTTCAAATTTAAATACGTACTACACAATCCGTATGCTATTTGAAATAGGAGTTTTCGTTCTAAACAAAACTGGGTCGTTCGCGACTCTGCCATAGTAGTCTGCTAGTTTCATAAAGAGAGTTGTTCGCCGAAACCGAAAAAAAAAATTACATTTCCGAGTTGATCCAATGCGTTACACTCAAAATCTAAGAGAACGGGCGGATGCTTCTGTCGCTGCGCGTGTTCACGAAAATCCTTTGTGGGTTAAAAATGTGCGGTATTAAATGCTGGGATTTTTTTCTGAGAACCGGTGACAAAACGAACGATGGGATTTTCGTGTTATTTATTTATAATGTATCGGTAACGTTTGACAATCGCGAAAAGTATAAGCTTTTTAATACCGCGCGTTACATTACGGGGTTAGATTTTTTGTATTTTGTATTTTTACAATATATATATATATATTTATATTTATATTTGTCGTTGCTTTGTGTATTCAAATCGAGTGTAAATAAGTCGAGGGGGCCGGGCGAAACCGAACTCGAGTAGTTTTTATATTATATCGAGAAGTGAAAAGTTTTCCAACGGTAATACATAAAAATATATATATATATATGTATTATAAATAAAAAATAAAAAGCTTCTCGAGTGTAGGACAAACCTTTTGGAATAAGAAAACTACAGCATCGCGCGCGGTTAATGAATGCATATCGGCTTAACGAACACTCGGGCTTTTCTTTTCCGTCGGAACTCAAAGGCCGCGCGGCCGTGATGAGGGGCGCGGGGACGGGGTACGCGTTTTTATAAAATAAACAACGCGGAGAAAGTAAAAAAAAGAAAAAAATAAGAGAGAAAAGTCGCGGAATATTCTACAAATAAGAAGTTTTTAATTTGCCTTTATGGTAAACAACGACGACGGCCGGGTAAATAGAACGGGCCCGTATACACAGTGATTTTTCTCCGTTTTATCAAAGCCCGACACTTTTTAAAAATTATTTATTTTTTTTTTTTTTGTTCGCCCGTGTTAACAACGCGCGTCTTGCAACAGCTTTGATGCCTTGTTTTTTTTCTGTATATATTTGATCGCGGTCGCGGGGGAAACGCGCGAATAATGACGATACGAATTTACATTATTAACCGCGGTGTTTTATGCTCTTAAAATCATATTGCGGAGACGAAAAATCGTATACAGTGTTTCACGGTGGTAAACAATGTTCGAAATGGGAAAATAAAAGAAGAGGGACATGAAACTTAAAAAATATTACCGTCTCTTGCAAAATATTATTGAACTCGACCTAACCCCCACGTCCATTTCACCCCATATTTTCAAACAATAATTGATTATTCACAAAAAAAAACCACAACCAATAATACTTCTGCAAGCGTCTGTAGTAGTTAGGTACTCTTGATTTTGCTTGCATATTTATTTATTTTATTTGTTATAAAATGATTTCTTATTTCGCAAAAAACAAAAAATAATAATAAAATAAAGAATAGTTTAGATTTTGGATGTATTACTTACTATCATCCAACTACGCGGTGCAAAAACTCAGTAAGTACGGAAAATGATAATAAAAATGTACGACTGAACGATCAAAAACTGTCCTAGCTGATAGACGTGTATCTGCGCACCGAGTGTTCCTGCAGAGTAAACTCAGCAACGGCTCTATGTAGCCTGTCCTGTACTGTTAAGCCAACCTAATTTTAAAAACCCCAGCTTCCAGTCTCGAAAAACTTATCCTTTTTTCATAACTCTGTGCTCTACCAAATAGACCGCTGTTCAGAATGATGCGTATTGCTAACGAAGACCCGTCGTTTTCTTTCTGTTAATATTATTTTTCTTGTTCTTTAATCAATTTCCAGAGTTTATATTATTATTTTTTTTTTTAAATTTCTTGTATATATGCGTACAATATTTGTTATAAAATAAAATATTACATTTTTAACAAAATATTTACAATACATCCGAGTTTTTAGAAAATATTACCGTTTACAAAAATAAATTCAATTTTCTCCCCGTCTTATAGAAATACTTAGTAAGGGGATGGTAAAAAAAAAAATAGTAGAGGAGGTCCGTCCTCCCAACTAATTCAAGCACCAGCTGGTGGATAACACAGAATATTAACTTTCAGCCGAGTGGGCGTGGGATTGAAATGGGTTTTTTTTTGTGGTAGATCTGGGAAATAGAAAAGAACATAATTTGAGCCTATTTAATACTTGAAACATTTTCATTCTCGCGGTACGGCAACTTTGACAAATACAATTTTTTTTAACCTCAGGATACAGGCGTCAAAGTTTTGTTAAACAATGTATGTTTTTTTGTCAATTTTCAAAAAATGTATAGTTCCTTTAAAGTAAAGTAATTTGTCATATTAATAGTAGTTTATTTAAATTAATAAAACGGGCAATCGCCAATAATACAGACATTATTAGATAAGATGTTAACAATAAATTAATATAGATATACAACACAAAAGTACACAATATTTCAATATTTTCTTTATTTTATATTTTTATTACACAAAGCAATTGGCTCTTGGAATCGGGGAAATTTTAAAATAATCTGTGTCGCTTGATGGGGCGAGTAAAACAAGTGAGCAGATCGGTTATTATAAACTGGAATGTTAAATAGGATATTTTCTATCTCGATTTTTTCGATTTATTGTTTATAAAAATCGATACGTTTTAAAATTTATATATATTTATGGACTACGTTGTCCGTAACCGTGATCTGTGGTCATTTATAAACCGGGTTGTGCATGGACCGGAGTCCATAATCGAATTCAACCGTATTGGAGATAATTTGACTCGGAACCATTTATGTTATAGGAAATTAAAAATGAATAAATACATGTTTATACTACATGACCGTATGCTATAACGATTTGTTTTCAACGGTGTGACGTTTTCGTAACGCAAACACTTTTTGAGGCGAGAGGAGTTCAAAACTCTTAAAGGCGAAATATATCCGAGTATCTCGTGTAGTATTGTTAATTTTAGATCCTGAATGGTTTTACAAAGATGTTTATGATTATTTTTTTTATCTGTGCGCAACTTTTCTACCAGAAACCTTGTTCCGATTTTTAAACGCAACAACTTTTCTAAAAGGCAATCTGACTGAGAAGGTACTTCAGCGAGGTAATTTTTCCTAAGAGTTTTCCCATCGGACGTGGAAAACCGGTAACGAATATTATTGAAGAAAATATACAACGTCTGTTTAGTTAATTTATCGTAATACGACGCGCGCGGGGGTCGGCTCGTACATTGTTGTCGTTGCGTCACTATCCACTGAACTCTGTTCAGAATCGGTTTTTCGTTTCCCGACATTCCCGACACCGCCGCGGCCGTATAAACCGCGGGTGCCCGTATAACATTACGTGTCGGCCGCGGAAATCCGTCGGCGTTATTGTATTGTATATAATATTATACGGTTATATTCGGCACGGGCCGCGATTGGCGCCGCGGCGAGGAAATTTTCCGCGTTCGCGCCGAACATCGCGGCCCGTGCCATCTGCACCCGGCCCCGGCGACATCTGGCCGAACACCGACAAACCGAAACATTAATTCCGGAACCCACACGACACGTCGGCGGCGGCGGCGTCAACGCTCACCGCCGTCAACTTTTTACCCGACAGTCGACGTCGCGCCCGCGGACATATTGCGCGCACACGCAAGGGTTTCCCGGGGTCGGGGGCGGGCGGCGAATCGTCGAAATGGCATTTTATATTTTAATATTCCTTTCCGAGGACGCCGCGCCGGCGGATTTTTATTCGTTCGTCTTGTTTCCGGGGTCCTGTTTTCGTGTGCCGGCGGTAATACGTGTAGGGCTCGGATTTAAATGCGCTTAACATCCGCAAAAAAAAAAAAAAAAAAAAAAAAATGACATTGTGTTAATTATTTTTGCAGCGTTAGAGTTGGCGTCTACAAGTTAGAGCCGTATAGGAGGAGGGCACTTTTAATATTCTCTCTACAACTGTTTGCTTTTTAAGGGCTTTTTCTGCCATTTTAAGCGTAATATTTTTTTGTGGATTTTAAGTGCATTCAAGTCCGGACCCCAATATAATAACGGTCGCGGATACATCGCACCGTCGTGAAAACGACACCAAAAAAAAATGGGCGTGTTTTAGCGATAGGGAGTTTTCGGTAAACAGTTTGCTGCGTTTGTTCGCAGGCGTTATCTATACTTGGTCGCAATATCGCCAAAACGCTTTGTTTACTGTACAATATTTTTTCCTTGCGGTGACAGTGACAGTACGATATTAACCGTGTTCCGAACGCAGCAAAAATCGAATCCAAAAAGGCCGTTCGTTGCAGCACAATATTATCGGGTGACGTTTCGGTAAATTTGTTTTGCGGTTTTCAATCATACGCTTTCGATAATTTATCGTTTGCTATCGATTTTACGGGATACCGAATATGTGGTGCCCAGTCATTCGCGGTATACGTTTTTACCGTGATAATATTCAATTCGCTATATTTATAGTTTTTTCCACGGCGTGTTTTACTATGAGATATAACATCGAAACGATATTGTGTATGCCTAAGTATAATATAATATTGTATAGGTATGAAACGCGTTAAACAAATAAGTCAGGATGAATATTATGTAAATGCCCTCTTTGAAAACTTTAAATTTATTCCACGGAACGACTTTA